GTCTTGAATTAGGTGTGACCTTTAATTCTACATCTTTTTCTACTTTTCCAACATTAATTCCTTTACTATGTTCTCTATTTCCCGTCTAGATTACTTACTTTTCCTGATTTCTTCTGTATTCCAAATTTACCAGCTTGGCAATTTTTCAGAAGACCATACTACTCGGGTCGTAACATTCGTCTCCAAATATATATTCAGGTGATAACTCGTTGCAAATTTATCGTACTAAATGTTATAGAAAGATTCAATCTGTCAATTATTGAATGAAGTATTTCTCTGCTTTACTGTATTCTATTAAGAGCCTGTGGCTCTACAACGTTGAAGACTTTTCATGATCGTTAATTGCGATGATCGTAGCTTCATGTGAAGGCTTATAAATCGTACATAATTGTTCGTGCATGATATACGTAATTGAAATCATATACTTCGTACTCCAGTTATCAAGTATTTGGATGACCACTCAATCTGTATTTGAAGACCAGGCTCCCAAGAATTAATAGAATACACCAATTTGAATAAATATCATTCGATCTATTTCTTAATTTATTTTGTCCTTGTGTGTGAGCCAATCTAAATTCCTCACAAATATGAGGTGTAACAAGCGTCATAAGTTACACCTTCCTGGCCCGGCCAGCGCACGGCCACATAAGCTTTATACAGAGCGCACTCACCCGTGCCATGGTGCACTTCTTTTTCCCGTGGTAAATAAGTGCAATAATTAGTTTATGGCTTAAAACAAACGGATAGTAAAACACACAGGTTTCAGGTTTTTTAATATCAATCACATAAATAGTAATTTAAAGGAGTAAATTACGATTTATGTTAATAACCGTGAATCCACCTCACATATTATGTTCATGAATCGGGATCAAAATGAATACAAATATTCCTCTTGTGTGGAAAATCTCACTACAAGGAAAAGTGTATTTACCTGAGATAGACGCTAATTAATCGAATTTTCAAACAAATGCATTTGTATTAGCAGTGAAAATACAAAAAAATAATACCTCTTTTAGCGAATCTCATACAAAACTTTAGATAATACGATGAATCAAAAGTTTGTAATATTTTCATCTGAAATGTGTTTCGTAGTGTTCAGCATTTGATTCAGGGTGGATTCAATTTGAAGTTCGATACTGTACGCGTGTTTCTAAATAGATTCGTAATTAAGCAGGGGCATGCATCAAAGTTTTAATATCATTCACGTAAAATATCATTTGTAGTTAAGTTCAGATTTACCTATTGTAATTACAGATTTCACTTATCCTTTCAAAAAGAAGTTTAGATACAATTTAATTCTTGCTATCAAACTCGGAATGCGTTTCCTAGGATCTGTAAATCAGTCAGATGGCAAAAGTCGAAAAGTTCAACTGAACGTATAAGTATGTACATAATGGATGTCCGAGGCGATTCATGAAAAGGCTATATGCCGCCAAGGCAGTTAACAAACCAACTTATGGTTCTTCCCATTATACTTCTTGTAAGCTGCAGGAGTAAGAAATAAGAATCTTTACTTGGCATATCACTGAACATTGAATCTAAATCAAAAGTCACGCTAACAATCATAACTAATTTCATTATGGGTAATCAGAAAATAAAATTGTGACGCATACACAGGTATTTGAACGTAAAAAGTTTACACAGAATAGATATAAAAGAATTCTAGTAATAAAACACTCCCAGCAGCGATTCGGATCCCTAGGCGATGTAGTGAAGCGTCGACGTATGAACATTAGTCGGTAACTCTCTCGATAAACTGGCGGGCTGCTTCCATTTGCCCGTAGCCCGTTTCCGCGAAATGTTGCCACAAGAATTTACGTGACGCTCAACGAGCCGTGGGCGCTATTATATTTTATTGTGGATAAGTGACACACAATCTTTCTAATCAACAATAAAACTTACAATCAAGTACAAACGATCGTTCATTCATGTATTAGAACCCATTCTGAAAGAATGATGTATATTAGACCATTCATGTATATGAGTGGAGCAAGGGTATTTTCTCGATTTTTCTCTGATTTAAATTTAATAAGTAATTTTCGATTATTTTCCAATTTCCGAGTTCGAGAAATAGCAAGAGTTTCATTCCCAGATCACTTGCTTGTGATTCAGCATTGTAAAATTTCATATCTTCTATTTGGATCTGACGATCGACGCGAAGCATGTAAACTTGAGCGTAAGCAGGTTCTCTTACGCTTGCCATCTCCATTCACCCAAGAGGTTCTGGTGTGCTTGTACACCTCCCCTTATTGATCTGTGGGAATAGTGAGCTAATAATTTCATTATTAGCGTTAGTTGTCATGCACTAATATTGTTACTTTAGTTGCAAACGTAATAACATTTTTATTATAAAAACGTAATATTTTTGGAAGTAGAAGTTATATAAAGTAGTATTTATTTAACTAGTAACTTTCGGATCTAACGAGAACATGTATTGTTCAATGTGTTCAATCAAAATTTGTATGACTGAATATAATTAGATATTAATGTTAGAAGAACACGATAAGTTCTAAATCTACAATATAGCCTAGAATGATCTAGAACTGGATGATGCTTCCACACTCTCACTTGCACTATACATAGCGCGCTAATAACTCATTATTTGCAGGATGCAGAGCGTGTTGGTGCAACGGCTAATGCTATCGCCGGCACGACCTAGGACTCTGATAGAGCAGTAAAATCGGTGAAAGGTGATATTATTTTATTGACAACGATAAGCGATATTATTGGGCGATATGTTCCGCTCAAATGCGACGGCTCTGACATAAACCAGCTCCTGACTCCGCTATTATCGTATTTGACTCGGCAGGGACTCCACTATAATGGAAAATGCATTAAAAAACAATGGCTTGTAATTAAATAAGCATGATATAATAATTGTCCTTTCTCCGAAAAAAAACCTCAAAGCGCAGGAAATCCGCTGGTAATGAGATGGATAGCTGGAGTGCAATGCAGAGGTGAGAGCTTCAACTATCGTCGTTCGGATGATGTCGGCCACTCTATGAAGACGACGCTGTTGGGTTCCTCCGGCACAGTGGGAGTGACAGCGGGAGTGGCGAGTCGGCAACGGAGGCTGAAGCATAACTCAAATTTTGTCAGGAAACCAGGTTTTCGCTTTGGCTTCGTTGCATCAAGTGTTAGTTTTTCATTTATTTCAAGTCACAGCTCGGTATAAATTTGAATTATTGTTGTATTTTTCTGACTGAATAAATATAAGCCTTGCAAAACGCATGACCAAATCATATATGATTTATATGAATTTTATTGAAATCTCAAGTTCTTTCTCGACAGTTTCGAAACGACATTCTGCGTTTAATATATGACACTTTGCCTGTGATGCATTAACTAATATTGTCATAAATATTTTCGAGCATGTTGAACACGAGGTACATGGGCATATAGGGTAACTAGATGTAGAGAGAGCGTGAATTTTTGGTGGACGTTATTCGAGATCACGATTTTCTCAAGTAGTGTTAGTTCTCTTTTTGCTATTCGTGCATTGTAATTTTTTTGTTGTAATTAATGAGCGAAAATAATTTATAATAACCGTTAGCTAGGCCCGAATTTATGTCGGCCGAATTAAATTAAATAAGATAAGATAATTAAAAACCCTACTTAACTTAATTACATTTTTATGAATAACGATATGGTAATGGGATAGGGCAGCGATTAATGAATTGATTCCAACGGTGCCAGCACTTTTTTGACTAGCACACAAAATTCCAGTGAATCTCAATGACATCGCTCTACAAAGCAATTTTCTGACGAGACTCAATTTTTTGCCGTCTCTACGCTGGTTTGCAATATGTGAAGTGCAAAACTTGATACTTGATGTTTCCTTCTGAATCAGGTTAAAGCTACAAAAAACAGAAGTCCATTGTCTAAATTTAGCAAAAATTTAAGTCAAAAGACATTTATTGGAAACTAGAAGGTTATCAAGGCATTACCCGGGCTTGGAAATTTATTTAGTTCCGGAATTCTGATTCCGTCATTCCCATTATCCATAATCTCGATTCTAAAATAGCCTATGCATTTTAATTAATTGAAGACTCATTAAAACCAACATTTTGTACAAAAGTTAGAATTTCTGTTTTACTCCTGTTTTGAAATATATTGTTGCCACAACTTAAATTTCTAGCGCGAGCGGAAAAGCTTCTTAGTTTTGATGAGGCAATAGAACCCTAAAAACTGTAACTCTGGCCTATACGTTTCTATGGACGAGACTGTTGTTGCTGCTGAGTGGCGACTTTTGTGTCATTACGTAGCGTCATTCCAATCTAACTCGCTGTCATATTTGCTGTATTGACTTGGTTAACTCAACTGCCTCACCATTTAACATGTAACTTGCCTTGCCATCTTTTGTAATCATTGGCAGTTAACTACCAACGACTCCATCAAAATTCTCATCCAGTTTTGTAGGATAGAACGTAGGTATATTGTAATTTGTAAAGAAATATCGAGACAGTCCGTGGAGTGTAATGATTGTAACTAGCGTGCAACCCAGAATGTCACATGCTAGAAGATACATTGTAATGTGGAATCAAGCCATGAGGCAGCTCATGAATTATTGACGTCTTTGCAAATATGGAGCATCTGTTTAGGAGCTTCGCCACTTCACCTGAACTAACGCTGAGCACCGAGGACACGGTCTTCTCATCATCATACCTCCACGTGTGATGAAAAAGTTTGTTCTAACGCGTATTGAGGTTCTTTTAACATATAATTTTCCATGGAAAAAAAATAAAATTTAAACATAATTCTGCCATCGTCGCTTATATTTCCACTCAATTTGATATATTTTTAATTTCTCAACCAGAAAGTTTAAATTTTCTTAACATACAGTTAAACCTAAATGTCAACATTTGATAGTGGAGCTAGATGCCACTAGCTGTGGTGACGGATGATCTCTGACAGACAGCTGTAAACACACGATCGACAAATAAAACCAACTGTTTCAATTATATCATGAAGCTATAAAGGCAGACCATGTGTCGTACCAAGTTACAGGACATCTAGCAGCCTTCCGTTCACGACGCATTTTGCCTTAGCCTTTTGCCGCGCCTTTACGACTACCAACATGATGAAATCTGTCGGTCTTGTCCTTCTTCTCATTGCAGCCTTTGCCTACTCCGGTGTTGAAGGGTAAGTGAACTCAGCAATTGCATTCTTGCGCTGTGCTCTCCCCTCTGTCCACCTGTATCCTAAATTATTAGATATTGTTTTGTGCTCTAATTTTGAACAACCATTACAAATTAATGCTGAAAAAGTTGCTAAAACGTTGCATTTAGAACTATGGATATTACTTGTTTTCCTGGTTAAAATGGAAAGTGTTCATATTTTGATGTTACACGCCTGTACTTATTCGTTTTCATTTCTCTACCCCCAGTGCAAATTCATGTGCAACTGTACTGCAGAACACCATATGGCAGAACGCAGACCTGAAAGCTGCGTTAAGCGCCTGCAAGTCGGATCCAGACGGACGTGCCGCCTTGACTGCCCTCGGAGGTCAGATATCGTAACATTAATTACCATCAATTGGTTGATCTGGAATTTTCTACCATTTCGCTAATCTGTGGGCAATTCGCGCAGTTTATATTTTTTTCACAAAACTCAGTTCTAGACCTTGTCTTTTCAATTATTGGGGTATCTAGAGACGATCATGAAATAGTTAATGGAACCATCATACATTGTGTGATCTAAAACAATAAGCATCAATTTACGTGTTTTGCAGGCTATGCTGCCTGCAGGGGCTACAACTTCGGTGCGGTCAAAGTCGGCAAGTGCGATGCAGTTGCAGCTCCCTACATGAAATGTGTAGCTGGAAAACTTGGTTACGTAAGTCAGGAAATATTGCTTAAATACCTTTCCATCATCTGTCGTGAACTCCACCTTGAATATAAGCTGACACTATTTGTGGTATTGAACGTGGCAGCTCAATATGTGACCAACGCTGTATATAGTGCACCATCAGAGATATCTATTTCAATCAATTTCATTGGTTAATAAATTATATAATGAAGTTACAACCCTTGTAAATGGGAATCCAACACTCATTCATTTATTTGTAGTTGAAAGCTGATGGCTCCATCAACAACGCAAAGATCTCTGACCAGTACAAGACTTACGCGACTCGCGGTAGTCTCTGCACAGATGCTATGTACAACTCCGCTGCGGGGAAATGTGGCACTGTCACGAACTATGCGGTAAGTTTTTCTTGCCTTAGCGAGACACACACAACGTTATTTCATAGCAGGACAACGGGTTGAGATTATTTCGATCTGAATTTGTGTCAAATGTTAACTTGGAAGCCGAGTGATAATTTGATTTACGACTATATGGAAATTTATGCAAATCATTCTTAGTTCTTGTGAAAATACGTGTCGAAATTTCAGACCATCCAGCAAGTTTCTTTGATCTGGTAATTCCCTTTTCTGATGCCAATGCGATATATGATTACATATCATTGTAATCATATAACGCATATCATTCTAACTTTCTCAAATTTCTTTGAATAATGTTGCGTAAAGTTATCGCTGAAATTCCAAGCATTCTTTTACTTTTATCCACTACATTTGAAGCATCACTTTATGCCATGAACGTTTTTTCATAAAATGAACTACCGCAAACAGTTCCTGGTGAAGGCCGAATGCATCATCAAGGCGCTGAACCAGTACTCTGGGTGACCTGCGCAATCTGGCCCTCATAAATTCATCTGACTGGCGGCTTTGAAGTGTTCACAACAGGTGCACAATAATAATTAGGAGACCACTTTCTCCAGGCAATGCAGCCACGTGCAGTAAAAATTGTCTAATCAGAAGTTTATTGTAATTTGCGAAACAATAAATTTGATAAAATCCTACTTGTAATCATATTAACAATCGTTGTTCTATTCAAAAGTGAAATTGAAACACTTCTGGAGAAGTGAAGCTTTTCGCTTTGTACCAATATATTTGGTTTCGAGATATTTCTATTTGATGAACTGGAAATTATTATAATTCGAGAGGTTCAATGCCATATGGCTTGAATATAAGTTTAAATAAAAAGGCGTGTCACCAATCATTATAAACTTGAATATAATGAAAAATCATAATGTTCTTAGTGTTCTTTGCACTTCAAAATTAGTAACTTATTGTCGTCTTTCAAACCTCTGTACCTGTTTTTTTCTTCTCCTGACAGGTTGAAAAAGTTTTGAACACTTCAAAATGGGAACTTGGAACTTTTACACAGCTTGGACGAAATAATTTGCAATATATTAGGTGCATGATTGTTGTTTTGATTGACCCTTTTGTTGTGGATAAAATGTTGGGTTGTCTGTTGCCCAAATATTTCCACGTTGAACGCGCATTCAAATTATAAGAAAATGTAAAAATTTATTAAGTAAACCACATAAGAAAAATAAACACAAAAAACTTAAGAAATCAATAGCTACATTTACGTAAATGGCAGAGATGTGGTGCATTTAGTTTTGAGAGACATATCGCTGTCAGTAACTTGTAGTAAGTTTCACGAACATGCATTTGGGGAAAGAATTGTTACAGAGACGTCTTAATAACCTAAGGATGAAATGAGAACTGGAATGAAGGGAAGTAAGGAGCTAGAGTGGTTGAACAGAAGACATATTTGTACATCGAATGCCATTTGTTTTTACAAGAGAACATGTAACACACATCATTTATTATCAATTAGAGCAATTTTTGAACTGATGAATGGAATATTGTTGATCAAGATGATCATTACTGGGAAGTGCTCAAATGATATTAACATCAATGCATCCTGAGCAAACTAACTTGTTGAAAATTAATTTCAACAATTTTGAATTGAGGCATGAATATTTCTGCGATTTGAGGAAAATCGAGTCATCGTTACATCTCAGACGGGAAAAATATTTCCTATTATTCTTGAATAGTTTACCAATGTTTGTTACATTGCTTTGAATCAACTTGATTTATGTTTAAGGCGATCGATATCTCTAGGGATCATTTATAGTACACTCCTGGATAAAAAAAATAATTTCCAACCTATCGATTTTGTCGAAACTACTGGAACGAGTTGTGTTCCGATAGCTGAACAACCATCTTCAGCAGTCCGGTCTCATGCCTCGCCTCCAGTCTGCAAACCGTCATCTCCACTCGAAGTAAATCTCTGTGCTGAAGGAGCTTTCCGACAGTCTACGCGCAGTAGACAGCTGTAACATTACGCCACTGGCTTTACTCGACCTGTCGGCCGCGTTTGAAACGGTAGACCACGCCACTTTATTGCGTCGACTTGACGTATCATTCGGCCTTCGCGGCACTGTGCTGCTGTGGTTCGAGTCCTATTTCAGCAATAGATTCCAATGCGTTCGACAAGGGAACCTTTATTCTACGCCTTCGTTGGTCACTTGCGACATGCCCAGGGATCAGTTCTCGGCCCGATCCTCTTTCTATTATATACTGTCGACGAATTGTGCACAATTGATTCACATAGTTTGAAACCGCATATGTTCGCTGACGACACCTAAATTTATGGCTACTGCGCGCCGGCTGAAGCCGCTGTGTTGCAGGACCGGATATCTGTCTGCATAAACGCCGTCTCAGACTGGATGCGCTCTCACCGGTTCCAGCTCAATGCATCAAAAACCGTATTTGGTGTGCGACTGCTCGGTGCAGCATCAGCTTCAGGCCAACCCTGTTCGCGTGGACAACAAGATCGTCATGCCTGCGTCAGTAAAAAAGTGCGTCATCGGTTCACTACCTCGGCATTCCACTGGACCCTGAATTTTTCATGAACAATCACATGGATGGATGCCACACTCTATAGACTTCTGACCACGAGACTTTGTAAACTGCGTTCCGTAATAAACGCTGCTGCGCAACTCGTGCGCAATAAGCGTGGACGAAAAAGCGTTCCCTGTCACCTGCGCCAAAATCTGGAACAGTCAGCCAGCTTTCGTGACATTGGTTCCTTCATTGCAGATGTTTCGTCGATGCCAAAAGACGGAACTATTTCACAGAGCCGATGAATCATGTGCCTTGTTATTTTGAGCAGTTTTCATCATTTCTCGTGTCGATTTATTTTTCGCTTGCTATTAAGCTTATGTATATGAAACGTGCCCTCAAAGTTCGTTTGAACCAGACGCCACGATAACTGCTTCATGGGATAATAATAATAATAATACGAATAATTATAATAACACCAATAATAATTACAATAATAATGATAATAATAATGGGTTATGAAGTGCCGTTTCACTATTCGCCGGGAATTTACTTCCCGTGTGGTTTTCCGACTGCTTAAATAATTCATTTGAGCATCAGAAATATTTCTAGATTGTCTTAATAATTTTGGAAGATTCTAAAATAGCATTTATAATGTTACGAATGTAAGACACTTACATGGAAAAATTTCATTTTGAGTCTTATTTTTAGGCAATATATCTTGCTCGTTGCGTGGGAGGATTGCTTAACCGAACTGTGGTAGTTGGTCTTCGACACAAGCCACATGAGAAAATTTTTCGTGGGCTTATACCCTCTGCCGGATCGGATCAATGTTGAAATTTGAAAAATGAAAAAAGTGAATATGTGTGAGTACCTACATTTCGTATCTATATTATACAAAACATACATTCACGCAACCCGTTTTACGAGAGCCGGCAACGATGAAAACAACATTTACAAGCTGACACCACGGTTTCGGCGGATTATTGGCATGCGTGACCACGATTATTTCAAGTTCTCCTGTCATTAGTCTGCTTAAATCGTAGGTGAATTCACCATATATTCATTGATAGCGATTCAAAGATCAACTCCATCGTCAGTTTAAAACTTAGAGAATAAAATTTTTCAGTGTTGCGTTGCCAGTTTTTCGTTAGGTATAAGATTCAAAGGAAATATCAGACTTGCAATTGCCCTACTTATTTCAAGCCTGTTGCGCATCAGCGATACACCGGTGACACTTCCAGTCTATTACGCATCAGAGTTGTATAAAACTTTTGCAACCTGTGACATTTTTGCAAGAGACTCTCTTGAATAATTTAATTTGGAACATGAAAAACGAAATAATTATCATAAAATAAGAGAAAAATATACTACTCCGAACTTGATACACTGAATCAACAAAGCTGGCATATACTGAAGTGAAGAGAATATATTTCTTCTTAATTACAGCCAGCCCTCGAATTTTTATCAGCAACAGGTATAATTTAAAGTTAAACAGCGCTGAAGTTTAAATTTAACAAAGGTGAAACCGTGTCAGATGTATATGAACTTTGCTCAAACAATAACCACGATGATGAAAGTGATTTTAGATAAATATGTTTTCCTTTGTAGTGGCCCTGTGAACCATTTTATTGATCAGAATATCATTGTATACTATTATGCCTTTGTCGTCTATTGAGAATTATATGTTGTCTTTCTTCTCTTCAAGCTATTTTCAAGCTGATGATTGACCTGAATGCCTAAAAATTAAAAACATGTCAGCAGAACTCTTGCTATGTTTTAATAACAATATTGAATTATTAAAGTGTAACTTAATTATTTGGATTCTGACCACAGCAAACGCAATATGTTGACAGCTTTTTCTCGTATGCTTATCCCAACCCGAGCCCGAGGAGAGTCCCTGCGGTCGTTGCCACCGTGGGCACAGTTTGTACCGTGGGCACAGTTTGTACCGTGGGCACAGTTTGTACCGTGGGTACAGTTTGTACCGTGGGTACCGTTGCTGCTGCACTCGTGTTGCTGCTCGAGGCGTCTGCTGATAAAGGAATGCTGTAATGAAGTCTGTACTTCATCGGGGTTCGTTTCACTGAATCGGATACTATAAACATTTAGGAATACCAACAATTTAATAGAACAAAACACGAATCAAAGTTTACATCAAGGGTTAACGCCATACATTAATAAATCTGACACCTTAGCTGTTCAATCTACAGATTCAACAGGCAGCATCTGTGAATTCCTAAAACAAGATAGTCTGCAGGGCTTCTCCGGTCCTCAAGGAAATGAGTAGGTCCACGTGGTGATCGTTACGCACGAAAAGCTTCAAAGACAAGCTTGGAGAGTGTCACTTTGAGTCCAGTCCACACGAGATCAGCAGCAACCCTACACATTGAAAATAATACTTATGAACTGACTGAAACTTATCATTTAAGCACGTTAATTATGGAATCGCAATATTATCACTAAATAACAACTGAATATGAAATAGAAGTAGCATATTTTATTGTCTAATCTCAATTTGGTTGAACGGAACATCTTACCAATAAAGGCAGGGTAGGTTAACTTGAACCACAGCGAGTTAAGGCGTAATGGTTATCGTCAACCATGCCTAGAAATGGGTTATTCAGAGGAGGACTGCTGGTAACGACTAGTCTAAGGTCCGGTCTATCACTCTTGTCGAGTGTTTCCAACTGATGCCTTCTAGAATTCAATTTACAACCTTACAAATGCATTACGTTCAAGATTAAAATATAAAAAAATATTGCTCAAAACTTTTATAAGTGATGAATAAGCTGTAATTGCTGTAAAAATATCACCATTGAGGATCTGAGGATAGTATAGACGGATTCATGTTTAAACGATACTTCCACATATGCATATATGTGAAGTGCAGTTGATAAAATTACTGGAAATATCTGACCAGCTTTAAACCAAGTTTGGCTCTGTGACGCCTCCTTGGTCCTCGTGGCAGTCGGTGCAGTGTCAGTCATCGCGCACTCATCAGTGTTGGAGTCAAACGACAGTGCAGTGCAGTTGATAAGCACTGCGCACCGAACCTTGCAGTGGCCTGTGCAGTAAGAAAACAGTTGATAAGCACTGCGCACCGAACCTTGCAGTGGCCTGTGCAGTAAGAAAACAGTTGATAAGCACTGCGCACCGAACCTTGCAGTGGCCTGTGCAGTAAGAAAACAGTTGATCAGCACTGCGCACCGAACCTTGCAGTAGCCTGTGCAGTAAGAAAACAGTTGATTAGCACTGCGCACCGAACCTTGCAGTAGCCTGTGCACTAAGAAAACAGTTGATCAGCACTGCGCACCGAACCTTGCAGTAGCCTGTGCAGTAAGAAAACAGTTGATGAGCACTGCGCACCGAACCTTGCAGTAGCCTGTGCAGTAAGAAAACAGTTGATCAGCACTGCGCACCGAACCTTGCAGTGGCCTGTGCAGTAAGAAAAGAATGACTGACACGTGAGTCTTTCTGACATCCAATGATCATCTTCAACCAGCCTCCAATTTCTAAAAAATTATCGGTGGATGTTTGTAATGTGTACACATGTTTAAATATACCA